AGGGATGGTAATGGTGTGATAGAGATGTGATTCCTTGTCCTCGTCCGTGTCCTTGTGGTTGTTTGTCGAAAGGAGGAGTGATGTGAGTAAGGTCGAACGCGTGGGTGTGAACTGAGATAAAAAAAAGAAAACAAACAAAATCCAACGAGCGCGCTCAAGGGACAGAAGATTTTACACGTGACTGAGCATGCCTCCAGATTGAGCGAGGACGCGACTTCATTTCTGTGCGTTCTAGTAATTGAATAAGGAGAAGTAGCTTACTCCCACAAGCGGTAGAGATTACAGAGAATGTCCTCACCGAGAGAGTTGACCGTGTCGTTGCGCTCTTCGACAGAGAGGTCCTGCCAGGGAGCGGCGTCGTTCGCTGAGGTAGTGACCTCGGTACCAAAGAACTGGATATACTCCTTGACGCTGTCCTTGACCATGGCCCACTGCAGTCTGTTCAAGACGGTCTCGGGGTCTCGATGTGACCCATCCTTGTCCCTCTCCTCACTCCACGCCTCTTGGCCCTCGAGTCTAGATTTGGCCAACAGAGAGATGGCCACCGACATGTTCAAAGAACACTGCATAGCCTTGAGTGACAAGGCCTTCAGCGTCGGAATCTCATAGCGCTCTGAAACCCGGTAAAGGTCCTCAAAGAAAACAGCATTTGATTCATCTCGGCGCTTCTTTCTTCCTTCCTCTGTCTCGAAGGCTCCAAAAATATAGACCTCTGAAGTAGCAGTACCACTAGACCCGTTCTCATTCTGGGTGACCCCAGAAGTGACTCGCTTTTGAGCTTCTTCACTTCGCTTCTTAAGTCGCAACCGTCCTGTGTAGAGGTACCGCAGCATGACTCGAAAGACTTGAGGGGTGAACTCGGTGATGTTGCATAAGGCACCGTAGAAGGGGCTTTCTCGGGCGGCCTTTTCCTCAGCCACTTCCATCAACCGCTGGGCAAAATATTGGCTCTCGCCCAGAGCAGATGAGTGGGCGTTAATGGAGATTGGCTCGTGAACAGTCCTCGAGGCAGGAAAGTAGAAGCAAACATCCGGCGGGGTGTCTTTCCAGTATTGCTCAGGATCAAAGTCTGTGTAGATGTCGAGAAAGGAGGGGAAGATAGGGTATTCGAGGAACCGAGATCTCGAGATGTCCTGTGTATGGAATGCGATTCTGAACTTGTATCGTCCGTTCCTCGTCACCCTTCCCGACTGCAGCTTGACTAAATTTTTGCACCATGAACATTTCGATCAGACATGCGCACGAGCTTGATGGCAGAGAAAAGAAACAAAAATAGAGACCAAAGGTACCTTGAATGGTATCGCCCTCATAGATGCGGTGACCATCGAGGCGGTCGACCAAGAGCTCAGAAAGTGTCGAGTCGGATCGCATTTTAATGCTTTGGATGCGACTGATTAGCTCCCGGGCGTTGGACGCGACACCCTGCTGACCTTTTGCCATCTCTTGTAGGTTGAATGAGGTGGGAAAGCTAGACGAAGACGCAGGATCCTGGTAGGACCGCCATGTGAGGGAGAGGTTGAGCTCGATGCCGGCCTTGTTTTTTCGCTTGGTCTCGGTGAAGATGCAGTGCCAACAACCGTACTGACTGAGGATGGCAGAGGCTTTGTCGAAAATGCGGGATTTTATTTGGGTGTTGGGTGCGGCCACTGAGACGTCAAAGGTTGAGCAGAGTACACTGAAGGTGAGGGTTGAGCTGTAGTCTTGGACTGACTCTGACTCGTTCATTGTTTGACAGTATTGTCTGGCGGTAGCTTGTTGAGTGGTGAGAGTGAGACAGAGTGGAAAAGTGAAAGGGAGAAAGAGAGAAAGAAACGCGAGCTCGGCGTAGGAGTGTCGTGCATCCTTGGTTTTTTTCTCATCAGTCTCGTGAGAGTGATCAAAAGTGACGACAAAAGCCTGTAGGATTTCACCATCGTCTTTCCCTCTGTCCACACGCCATCAAACAGCGCCAAATCCTCGCGTCCATCTAAGACATGAACATTCTAAGCACCAGCATTCCTTTTTCATGCAACTGACCATTGCACCCTCCTGGGTTACCTCTTCATATTCAGCTGCGATTAATTTTTTGTCAAAGAGAGAAAGGCATGAAGAAAGAGGCGAGGTTGACTTCCCACGCAGTGATGAGGCACAGCACGTGAAGTGCCAAAGGAATAAGACCTCAGTGTTCGCCTGTACCACCTAAAAAAAATGTAGTGGTTTTTCACAATTCTCTTTCATCCTATTTCTTTGCCTCTAATTGCAACAGAACTAAAAAGCTTTTCGCAGATTTGTTTCTTGCCAAAGTGAGAAATCTCGGGGAGAACCGCACTGGCTACCATCTCACGCATTTACAGCCTTCTAGAACGAGTGAATGAACTCAGTAACACATCTCCACCAAGAACAAAAATTGCGCCACCAAAAAAAAAAAAAAAAAAAAAAAAAAAAAAAAGCGAGGGTCCCAGAAGGCCCCGGACGGTTCCCGAGCTGTCAGATGATTCAGATAGCTCTGAGAAATCAGCCCACCATCCGCCAATATAGTATAATGGTTAGTATATCTCGTTGTGGCCGAGACGATCCTGGTTCGATTCCAGGTGTTGGCAAGTAAGCATTAGCTTCTTCTTTTGGATCCCGTCGGGATCTCCGATTGAACTTTTTTTTGTTTACATTTCCGTGCTAACCCCGTGTGAGTATTTTGGATGTGTGGAGGCGACGATGAAGTCGGTCATGTCAACTTGTACCCGCTCATGAGATGGGAGACATTCAGGGGTACTAAAGCTAGGAGCTGAGGGGATCGCTATTTTTTGGAGAAGGCTGGCATAAGAAAATCCCTGCTCTAGTTAAGAATGAGTCTGTTGGGAGCGAGAAGGCTTCGTCGGTTAGTGATTCAGAGCAAGAGAAGAGCAGCATGCCTAAGTTGTGCAAGCCTAAGGGCGGCGAGGCCCAGAAGAACAAGTAGAACTTTGTACTCACCTTTCTAGACCCTTTCTTTTTCAAAACGGAAAGTGCGTTTTCGATGAAGAAGGGTAAAATGACAGGGTGGAGAGAAAGGGTTTTTACTGTTCATGTCTGCGCTAACCCTATGAGGAATATTTGTAGATGAGAAGTAATGTGCGTGTTGAAACTGTCTTACGCGCCTTTTTTTCTCCAAAATAGAACCACCTCAGTGTTTGAGATTACTTGCTCTTTTTTGCTTTTTGTCTCTCCTGCTTGCGTGCTGTCCAACACGTATCTTCCACATTCAGATGAGCTTGTATTCTGTATTCTGTTGGTGAACAAAATTGTATAATAAGAAGAGCTAGGTTTGTATTGCACTTTTCTTTACGCGCGAAAATAGAATGAAAGAGAGAAAGCGAGTAGAGCGAGCGAGCTCTCTCAACGTCGTTGTTCTCTGCTGGTGTTACATGGTCTTTTTTTTATTCGTGGGGGAATGTAGCCAAACAGACTAGAGGCTTTAGGTTTTGTTGGCCAGTAGTACTTTGCTTGTGTTAGCTTTCTTTTTCACTTTTAGAAGAGGTTGAAGAGCGCACCATCTTGGTGCTGAGTGGTAGAAGGGTAGATAATGCTTGGACTATGTAGGGAGAAAATGGTATCAGGTGGAGATCGATCAATCAGCAACTCAGTAATAGAGAGACCAGAGGGCTGTTCCTGCGAGCTGCTACCCTCAATTTTAACGGGCAATCTATCTCTGCTTCTACTTTCTCGGGCCACAGCAATTCGCCCTCCTCTCTTTCTCGCCCTCTAATTTCCCAAGAACTTTGCATTCACTGTACTTTTCCTTTTTTTTACTCTAGGTGCTCACTTTTAAAGCTCCTCGTGGTTGACTAGAAGGTGAGGGTTTACTGAAAACCCTCCAGCAACTTGACCACCTTAACCCACTCTCCCCCCTCCTAAATAATAAAAACAGATGTAACGATGCCTCTACTTTTCTCAATAGCACACTGAAAAACAAAGGAGAAAGATGTTTCTTGGCTTTGCGAGGCATCTATGTAGCAAGCTTATATACATACCTTGATGACCTCCGTAAAACTAATCAGAGCGCTTTCCGCGACACCTGTACCCCTTTGTACGGTTTTTTTGAGGAGATTTTTTTTTTGGTGGATTTTTTTGAAGAGAAAAGTCGCGACGTAGGCCGCCCACCAATTTAGCGTACCATGACATCACAAGTCTGATTATGTGAAATTTTTAGAAACATATATATATGCCAGGGTCGAGCATTCATCAAGAAAATTGCGACCTTAGCTCAGTTGGGAGAGCGTCAGACTGAAGATCTGAAGGTCGTGTGTTCAATCCACACAGGTCGCATTCCTTTTGCTCACATCCATACCATCTTTTTTTTTTTTTTTTTTTTTTTTTTGTTCCCAAAGTCTCCTCGAAGTGTATTTGGATGTCTTGCGCCTGCTCCCATGCAATGGTCTCCGAACACCGAGGTTTTCATATCAGCTCCGAGGCCTGTGCCTCCAGGTAGCGAACAAACTTGTGCAGGACCGTCCGAGCAATCGACTTTGGGGACCGGAAGACTGACGACCACTCAGACAGCATGCTCTTAGGGGTGATGCCTCGCAGTAGGTCCGAGACGTGCCACTTGGATCCAGGTCGCGATCGGAGACCGGGTGGCCTTGATACACCGATTGAGCGCCACCGAAAGAAGACCCCACGGACATGCTCCTCATCACATGGACAGCGCCATTGAACTGGCACTGGTTTTTTTTTTTTTTTTTTTTTTTTTTTTGTACACGATTTTTTTTTTCTGACGAACAGACCAAAGGAGGCATTTGGAGGTAAAGGGGACTACAGACCAAACCACTTCAGTGAATCATCCGCCAGTCACAGTCCGGTCAGGAACCTGGCTCTGCGCAACAATTGTCGCTGCTCTTCATAGCAATAACGGGAAAAAAAAATGGCACTGGGGGCGGTTCTTGACGGCTAACATGCCTTTTTTTTTTTTTTTTTTTTTTTTTTTTTTTTTTTTATTGACTCGTTATGAAAGAAAGAAGGAAAGCTTTGGAGGGAAAAGTTTTTGTTCGGCTTTAGCTCAGTGGGAGAGCATCTTACTGAAGTTCAGAAGGTCGTGTGTTCGACCCACACAGGCCGTACTCCTCATTTTTTTTTTGACTTTTCGTGATAGATAGTGGCACGACACCTAGCATTTCATACCTAGGTTGGGCCATGTCATGTTTTTTTTTATGTATGTCGTCTTCCGTGTTTCATCTTGAGTACTTTGTAGTAATTTCTTTGCGCCAAGAATATATATATAAAAACGTCCACGCCACCCAAACCTTTTTTTTTTTTTTTTTTTTCGTACACAATTTTATTCTCGGATAAATGGAACAAAGGAGGCATTTGGAAGTAAAGGGGACTACATACCCGAACTTCTTCAGTGAACCATCTGTCAGGCACAGTCCGTTCTGGAACCTGGCTCTGCGCAACAATTGTAGCTGCTCTTCACAGCAATAACGGAAGAAACTAAAACTAGATACGAATAAAGGGGATTCTTCCCATCCTCGCCATCAATGATAACTTCCTCCTTCCCAACAAACACTCCAACAGCCGCTCGTCAGCTGCGCGTGGTTCCTTGTTCGCTCCAGGGCAGATCCGATCCTCATGTGTGGCTAGCAAAGCGCCACACGGGCAGGAGCCATCACGCGTGATGTAACCATATCCTTGACTCCAGTCGCCATGGGGGCCTGTTTATTTTGATGTCTTGTCCCTGCATGAGGTGCCCTGGGTCTGCTCCTACACGATAGTCGCGGAACATCGGGGTTTCCAGATCAGCTCTGAGACGTGCATCTCCAGGTAGCCAACGAATTTGTGGAGGACCGTCTTGGCGATGGACTGTGGGGTTCTGAAGACCGCGGACGTTTTTTTCGTACACAATTTTATTTCTCTGACAAACAGAACAAATGAGGCATTTGGAAGTAAAAGGGACTACAGACCAAACTCTTCAGTGAACCATCCGTCAGTCACAGTCCGGTCCGGGACCTGGCTCTGCGCAACAATTGTCGCTGCTCTTCACAGCAATAACGGAAGAAAATAAAACTAGATACGAATGAAAGGGATTCTTCCCATCCTCTCCATCAATGTTAACCTCCTCCTTCCCAACAAGCTGTCTAACAGCCGTTCATCAGCTGCTCGTGGATTCTTGGTCGCTCCAGGGCATGTCCGATCCTCATGTGTGGCTAGCGAAGCGCCACACGGGCAGAAACCATCGCGCGTGATGTAGCCATATCCTTGACTCCAGTCACCACGAGGACCTGTGTATTTGGATGTCTTGTCCTTCACAGAGATGCCCTGGGTCTGCTCCCACGCGATCGTCGCGGAGCATCGGGGTTTCCAGATCCGCTCTGAGGCCTGCGTCTCCAGGTAGCCAACAAATTTGTGGAGGACCGTCTTGGCGATGGACTGTGGGGTTCTGAAGACCGCGCACCATTCGGTCAACATGCTCTTTGGGGTGATGCCGCGGAGTAGGTCCGATACGTTCCACTTGGGGTTCTCATCGCGATCGGGAGCAGGACTGCCGCTGTGCACGGCTCGAGCTCCACCGATAGAGGAGAATCCCTGCACATGATCTGCATCTCGGGGGGGTCGCCAGTGTATGAGTACTGGTCGCGGGGCTTGACGACCGTTATCCACCGCGCGTTGGTGTTCTCGCTTCCTGGCTGCATTGTAGTTGTTTGTCGCCTGTACACCCCAATCGTCGATCTTGCCCATAGCCTCCTTCCAGATCGTAGTGGTGGTCTCAGCTGTCGAGGAACAGTTCCAGACATGCTCGTTATCCTCCTTCTTAAGCTCGCATCGTCGGCAAAGGCATGTTGGGTACAGGTTGGGCTTGCGGGCCTGCACGGAGTTCAGGGTGGGCAACATTCCATGCAGCTTTTTGACGTGATGTGTCCGTTGATGAGAGTCTTTGCTATTACTGTAAAAGGTGAAGACTGCTCGCCTGTCGTGAACATGAGCCAAGGTCGAGGTCCATTCCACATCGTCGATGTCAGGGATCGCCCTCTTCACCCGTCTCTGCGACGTCCAGGCCTGGTGGTGTCGGATTGTCGTTTGTTGTTTGAGGTGTTGTCGTAGGTCGATTTCAACAAGCGCACCATAGCAATGTGCAAAGCTCGTGATATCCGCCTGCTGAGTGAGATCCACCTTCAAGGGTACTGTAGCGCTCTGTGCTGCCGCCTTTGCCGCCTGATCCGCCAGCTCGTGAAGACCGCGGACGAGGCATTCAAATAATATAAAAGGGCACTTTAACCACTGCAAGAGAAAAAAACTGAGGAGCAAAAAAAACCACCAACAACAATACGGAAAAGAGCACATACAACCCCATTATAGCGATTCGGCCTTAGCTCAGTTGGGAGAGCGTCTTGCTGAAGTGAGGAAGGTCGTGTGTTCAATTCACACAGGTCGTATCACCCCTCTTTTTTGTCATACTTTTGAAGCAAAATGGATGGGCTGTGTGAATGGAGTGAGAGGAGCACTATGTTTGTGAGTGACATGTTGCGTGAATAAGAGGAAGGAAGAATTCGACTGTGGCAGGGCGACGTGGAAAAACAAGGTTTTTCCCTACTCTTGGGGGAAATGCTGCCCTGAAAACGATCTGGACTTTTGGTGCTCAGAGCGGAGTCAACATGTCCAAACAGCTCTATAGATGCAGACAACGTTTGCGTCAAGGCTTGTAATTTATTTAGTAAGGGAAATATTGGTTGCATAAGCAAAAGACAATACTCCATCCATCCCTTTTCAGCAAAAAAAGCGTGTACTTTATCGTTAAAAAGGTCCGTGGCGAGACACTACTTTCTATTGGAGACTTTTGAAGATCTTGGCAGCTAAGGTGGCAATGATGGCGGCCTTGTGTGCATGTTCCAGTCGTCCAAACGCCTCAATCACACTGACGCCCTTTTGATCCCTGATACGGCCCAATGTCTTTCCACCATATCCTCCCTATTCGTGTGGCATTTATCAAGATTGAAGAGCAGAGTGTCAATTGCATGTCAGTAATGCGCGAAGAATTGTCCACAAGACTCACTGAGAAATACCATCAGGTCATGTTCACCAACAAAACAAAACGAACATGCAAGTGACACAAGAGCATAAAAAAAAAATACAGGGGAAAGCGTATCACAACAACAAATTCGCAACGTAAGCACATTGAACCTGCAAACAGCCTCCCTCCATCATTTTCATCAACCAGGAAAAAAAACGTACAATGAGGGCGCCAGGAATACCACCACAAATGAATCCAAGAGCAGCTCCAGAGGCCATCCCGACCGGCGAGTAGAACGAAGTCGGGTTTTGCACCTCGGGTCGAAGTAACTCCTCAAAGACGCCTCCAAAGACCGTCTCGGGCTCTGCATGCCCCTGTGCTGTCGCCGAAGTCGACCACGACCCGCGGTTCTGAGTCGATCGCCGTGCAATGTCGTATTCCTTGCGTCTCTGCGTATTTGACAGCACATAGTATGCGTCTATTTATGCAGTTAGAAAAAGAAGATGAATATTAGATGTGCTCTTAAAGGAAACTCATTCGGGCTGAAACGAAAAGCACACAGCTTGTGGGAGAGCAAGTACCTGCGACTTGCTGGAAGAGGTAGGTGGCCTCGTCCTTGGACAGGGGGCGTTCACCGTCAGGGCCTCCAAGGTTGGTAGTCCTGTCTGGGTGTGTCCTCAACGCCTCCCGTTTGTAAGCCTCTCGGATCTGTTCGGATGTTGCCGTCTCTGGCACCCTCAGCAGCTCTAGTTTATGTTTTCGTTGTTAGGAATAGAGCGCAAGGGAGGGTAAGAATGAAGCACTGTCAGCGAATACAATGGGTGAGTTTGACAGGTGACGCCCAGACCATGTCATACATGAGACAAGTGGAAGAGAATGCCAATGAGTTGAGCTGACTAGTGTTTACCATAGTAATCAGGGAAGTTGCTCATGGTATATGGATTAGATCTCTCTGTGTTGATGTTCCTGTTATGTTGCTGTGTCGATTGTCCGGAGCGAGTGAGAGGAGAGGGGAATGAATGAGGGTGGGAGAAGAACGAGAGAGAGGAGGAGACGTGCTATGCCAAGCCAACCGAAGATTTTTTGTCTGTCGGCCTTTATTCTGAAAAGAAAGCTCGGCTGTACGCTCTGCACGTGAGCTAAAAAAAGGAAAAAAAGCGCGCCATCACTCTACCCTGAAAGGCCTATAGCTCTCCCACCCGGTTCCTATCTGCTGCACGCGTCGTCGTCGTCCTTGTTCTCGTTGGTATTGCATTTTTGTTGTTATCGATTTGTTGTTCATCCTGACTTTCGAAGCATCTCTTCCTCGCTTAGCCATGCTGTGAACAACGCGTTCCGATGCCGCCACAGACATAGCAGAAGTGCGCCCCGCAACGACATGAGATGTGGTTGCAGCCTAGTAGAGAAAATATAACGAAACAGCGCGCGATTGTTAGTGACACCTAAAGTCAATTAGAGACGCGAAAAAACTGTGTGATGAGGACAAGGTAAAGCGAGGAGAGCTGGTTGGATGAAAGAGCAATAGTACCTGATGCCTTCTCGATCTTCTGGCGGCAAGCAGGACAGTTTCTCCACTGGCTTGCGTCAGCCAAATTCTCAAAGAGCTTGTCCTGTCGCTTGTCACAGTTGCTGCCTAACGAGTGCCACAAAAAATAAAAAATAAAATTGTATGTGAAATCGGGCGAGGACGTGTTGCCTTACTTTTGGCTGTTTTGTTACTCACTGGGACAGATAAAAAGGCAGGAGGAGGATAATTTTTACCTTGGTGGGCGGAAGCCAAGCACATGGCACAGAACGGTTTCTTGCAGTAGGGGCAGTGAACATCGACAGGCTCGGTGTCGTCGTGGAGCTCTCCATCAATCAGCATACCACAAGCAAGGTTTGGGCAATAGATCTAAGCCAATCCGTTGATCATGGTCAACGACAGTGATCAGTTGCATCAGCCGTGGGTCTGTACCACATTAATGAACTCATCATCGCGAGGAGAAAAAATGGAGGCGTAGCAAACGAAGTATGGTATGCATCGACTCAAAACAAACGTGGGAGCACAATCGAGAGATGCAAGTCGCACAGCATGGACAAGCGTCCTCCCCCCTCACTCTCAACAGCAAGCAAGGCAAAGGAACATACCTTCTTTTTGATAGCATACTCGATGCCCAACGCATGCCACTTGACAGCATCATCCCCCAAAAGGGCCTCAACTGCGAACGTAGACACTATCTCCCCACATTTCTCTTTCGGACAAACAACCGGCCATACATGCGCCTTGACCTGCATATCAATGTACCGCGCAGAGCACTCCATACAGAACGCGTGGTCCCTCTCCGTATGCAACGAGCACCCCAGCTTCAACGACACTTGCTTTTCTGGCTCGAACAGAGCATCCGCATCCGACGCGGCGGTTGCTTCGAGAACCTCTTGTTCCTCGTGCAGGACACGCCGTCCACCGAAACGAGCACTCGTAAAACGGATACGACGCTGCCGAGAGCAACCGGTCCTATTGTGCGCATGGCCACAAAGGATCGAGATTGGCTTCTTGGCGATGCGGGGCAGGAGAGGGAGTGCATCGGTGACGATGGAGTTATAGTTTCCTGGGCCACCCTGGTATCCGGGCAGGTCCTTGAGCGAGAACCATTCAAAGACTTCGAGACAGATGCCGCATTTCAGGATACACGCTGCTGGAGCTTGCCTGGCGGTGGTGATGGGACGGGCTTGGGATGGAGAAGAGCTAGACCTGTTGTCGAAGAGGAAGTGATAGTTTGTGGACCCAGCCTCAGACTTCGAGTGGGTGATGGTGGCCATCTCTTTCAGTTATTATGCTTGGGTTGTGTTGTTGTTGTAGGAAGAGAGAAAAAGAAGAAGAGGAAGGAAAGAGGAAAGAGAGAGAGAGAGAGTGAATGAGTGAGCGAGGTGATCTGGATTTTGCTTTGATGGGAGCAATTGAATTTGATGATCTGAAGAGCTGGTTGGCATAGACACCACCAGTCACCAGCAAGAGTGATGGTATAGAGTCATGCTGCTTTTATTTGCGTTCGTCTCTTAAGTCATTCTCTTATATACAATTGTACTCGTCCCATGGAGGCATGCGTCCACCCAATATTGACTTCTTCCCGATGCTGTTGCCCCTTGCCTTTGCTGGAAAAGCCTCCTCCTCCTCGTTTTCTCCAAATGGTTGACTAGCCTCGCTTAGCCCAGCCCTGTACAATGAAACGCGATCACCTCTCGCGGTGTCGTCGCGCTACTTTAGTCTATTTTAGATCCAGTCAGTGTTTAATGCGGGTTCCGACAAGGCCATCCGTTGCCGCCACACACATAGCAGAACTGGTTCCCGCAGCGACATGTCATATGGTCACACCCTATCAACAACAGGCCATTCAATAAAAATGTGTGTCAGTTGTCACTGTGGCAAAAGCAGACACAACTTCACTGATATGACAAAACAGCACTACTCCATATCGAAAAAAAGTGAGAGACGAGTACCTGACTCCTTTGCTATCATGTGCTTGCAAGAAGGGCAGCTCTTCCATTTGCTTTCGTTGGCCATGGTCAGGAAGATCTTGTCCAATCGTTGTTGACAGTCCATGCCTATGTTTTGCGAACATAAAGTCAAGGGGCGGAGTGTTTGGAAGGAGGAGGAGGAGAAAGAGGAGGAGGAAGAGGAAGAGGAGAATCAGTCAATCCGTTGGATGGGTCGGGTATGGTGAGGCAGGACATGCAATGCGGAAAAAAAAAACGAGGTGCTCAGTTTGTTTCATTCATGCTGTGCCTGACTTGGAGAGAAGGCTGCATGATCATTGGACCCGTTATTTTTAATTGACCAAAAACAAAAAAAAAAAAAAAGAGAGCGAAAGACGAAAGCGCATAATACATACCTGTGTGTGCTTCGCCATGGCACATGGCGCAGAAGGGCTCGTTACAGTAGGGGCAGTTGCGGTTGACCGCCTCCCCTTCATCGTTTCGGTCGCCGTCAAACAACCGTCCACATGCGTTGCTTGGACAGTAAATCTATTTATTTCAAACAGTCAACAGCGACAACAACAAAGAAAGTGAAAGGTGAGTACAAAAGACCATAAATGATCAGAGTTGACATAAAAAAAGGGTTTTGTTGGTGAACAATGCGCGCGTTGGCTGTTTGTCACAAACAAACAGAACCAACTCAAAAGTAAGAAAGGGGAGAGACGGGAACACAAACAGATGGTCCATGTCCGAAAAAGATATCACTCATTATCCCCCTCAACAGACAAACACGTTCAAACTCATGCTCACGTTTTTCCCTTTCGCCTTTTCTTAGTAACAACAAGAACAATAACAAAAAACGTTACCTTCTTCTGAATCGCGTGCTCGACAGCAAGCTGGTGCCACTGAAGCGCCTCACTCCCCAAGAGAGTCTCAACCGCAAACGAAGACACAACCTCCCGACAGTTC